CTGAAACTGTGGTCCTTAGAAAGCCCTGCTTGCAAGCCTGGACTTTGGCTGGTGTCAGGGAACATGGATTTGGGAAGACTATGCCATTTCATTACTGGTAACAGAGGTTCACTGTGCCTGAACTGTATGATGTGGTTTACTCTGAATAACTGCTTTTCCTCTTGTAGGCTTGGATTTTGTTACATGCTAAGTAGGTGGTGCCTACATGACCAGCCCTTAATAAGAACCCTGGGTACTGGTCTCTAATGAAGTCTTTTTGTAGGCATTTCACACGTGTGGCCACAATTCAATACTGGAGTTGAGTGAGTCCTGATACCGTGGGAAGAGGGCTTTTAGAAGCTCACGCCTGGTTTCCTTTCACTCGTATCTGGACTATAAGGAATAGAGCACAGGATCATAGGGGGAGGGAGGGAAAACTGAATGGGAAGAAATCAGAGAGGGAGACAAACCATGAGACTCTCAACTCCGGGAAACAAACTGAGGGTTGTGGAAAGGGAGGTGCATGGGGGGATGGGGTAACTGGGTGATGGGCATTAAGGAGGGCACGTGATGTGATGAGCTCTGGGTGTTATACACAACTAATGAATCATTGAATACTACATCAAAATCTAATAACGTACTATATGTTGGCTAATTGAATCTTTTTTTAAAGATTTTATTTATTTATTTGAGAGAGAGAATGAGAGATAGAGAGCACGAGGGGGAAGAGGGTCAGAAGGAGAGGCAGACTCCCTGCTGAGCAGGGAGCCCGATGTGGGACTCGATCCCAGGACTCCAGGATCATGACCGGAGCCGAAGGCAGTCGCTCAACCAACTGAGCCACCCAGGCGCCCTTGGCTAATTGAATTTAAATTAAAAAAAGAAAAGAAAGGACATCTATGTACCTTTTCCCTTTACTGATTTTGCTCTGTATTCTTTCACTGAAATATAGTCCTAAATCCAACTATATTCTGAGACCTCTGAGCAAATCCAAGAACCTCAAGGTGGTGTTAGGGACCCTCAAAGGACTACATAAATTGAGACAGCATGGATCTCAGTATCTGGTATCCTGTGAAGATATAGCCCAGAAAACTGATTATGAAAATGAATCTATCAGATATATTTTGTAAATAAAGCCCTTCAGTCAATACACTTAAATTATCACCATGGTGTCCAAGAAGTGTGGGAAGGCATCCAAAGCTGCCCTTCCTCCTTAGAGGCTTGACTGCTATGCTATGATCTCTACCCATGCATTTTTTCTTCAAAGCATTTCTTTTTGGGGCACCTGGGTGGCTCAGTCAGTTAAGTGTCCACCTTTGACTCAGGTCACGATCTCAGGGTCCTGGGATTGAGCCCCACATCAGGCTCCCTGCTCAGTGGGGAGTCTGCTTCTCCTTCTCCCTCTGCCTGCCACCCAACCTCCTGGGCTTGTGCTCTCTCTTTCAGACTGTCTCTTTCTCTCACATAAATAGATAAAATCTTTAAAAAAAAAAAAAAAAAGCATTTCTTTTAACCTCCACAACACCTGGGTGGCTCAGTCGTTAAGCGTCTGCCTTCGGCTCGGGTCATGATCCCAGTGTCCTGGGATCGAGCCCCGCATCGAGCCCCACATCGGGCTCGCCGCTCGGCGGGAAGCCTGCTTCTCCCTCTCCCGCTCCCCCTGCTTGTGTTCCCTCTCTCACTGCATCTCTCTCTGTCAAATAAATAAATAAAATCTTAAAAAAAAAAAAACAACAAAAACCTCCACAACATAATCACTTTACTGGTATCTCCAGTATTTGCTCCCTGGCTTATGCCTCAAGATGCATCTTTTGCATCAACTACAAAGCTGGTCGATCATACTTGTTAGCTTATCAGTGTATTCAAAGCAAAAATTTTTCTGCTTTTGAATACTGCTTGAGTCCTACTCCTTAATTTTGATCTTATCTGTCATACGATAATGTAGAGCAATCTTAATTAGGTGACTTAACTGTAAGGGACTCATAATTTTTCAAATTCTATTGTACATAATTTACCAGTTTGATCAAATGGATGTTCATTAAGAAATAACATAATAGAAGGGTGCCTGGGTGGCTTAGTTGGTTAAGTGTCCAACTCTGGGTTTCGGCTCAGGTCATGACCTCAGGGTCGTAGGATCAAGCTCCACATTTGGCTCTGTGCTCAGCAGGGTCTGCTGGAGATACGCCTTGCCAGAGAATATTAAGAGTATCCACTCCTACATTATGTATGGACATACACAGAATACACACATATATACAAGAGAGTTATGAATTTTATTATACTATGAAGGCTATGGTCTGATTTCACAAAGCCTGTATTATGTTCTCCTGATATTACATGTCCTTGACATTACCTTAAACGCCCCATGTTATTATGGGATCATATGAAATTTAAACAAATTCTTATTGGTGAACATTTGTTATTTCCAGTTTAAAAACTATGTGACATTAATGATGTGGTTTTCATCTTTTCATTGTTTGAATCTCATATCATGTATTTCTGTAGTATGATTTCCAGATCACAGCTGCATGTTACACATTCCATTATATACTGCTTTTCAAAAGATATGTATTGTCACCAAGAAAGAAAAACATGTAACTGTCATTTCTGCACCAGTAATTAATGTATCTGATGAAACCACCAAATCCCAAATTTTTCTATTATTTATTTCATGGAGATGAGGGAAGAATATGGGAAGCTGACAAGCTAAATGTCCTTCAAATTTGGCATAGCTTCTACCAGAGAAATTTGATTTAGAAAAAAAAGTGCTACAATTAGAAGGCAATCATATAAAAGATTACACAGAAATGCAGAAATTTAAAAATCAATGAACTCAAAATTAAAAAAAATTTTATCATTACTAAGTATGACACTTCTAATGTTACTTTGAACGCTTGCCTTAACGTTGTTGAGAAAATTCAATTAAGCTATGTGCAGTGGCCAGTTATCACAGAGTTAAAATTGTTTGTCTGCAATGTGAGAAAAATCACAAGAGAGTTGATTTTCTACTGTATAAACCAATGGAACATGAAATCAAGACCGAAAAAATAACCCAACCACAGAATAGAGGCTGGGGGTTTACCAAGAGCTAACTGCAACAGGATACTACCAAAATAATGCTGTGGAATGCAGTACTGGGTATTTCTGCATTTCAATTCCTATTTATTTCTCTGAATTATTTAATTTTTTGTATTGTTATGTTTCTGAATTTTTTTTTTTTGCTGGATTCCTTTTCCAGATACAATTTTTAAATATTGCACATTTTCTTTGATTAAAATATTTTATCACAACTTTCTGCCATTTTAAGAACTATGTCTCAGTATGGACCTTCTTGGGCTGATTTTTGGGGTGCTCTCTGTGCCTCCTAGATCTATGTTTCCTTCCCCACAAAAAGGAAGTTTTCAGCAATTATTTCTTCCAATAAATTTTTTTGTCTCTCTTCTTCTTCTGGGATCCCTTTAATGCAAATGTTATTATGCTTGATGGAGTCAGAGTTCCCTAAGACTATCCTCAATTTGCGTAATTTTTTTTCCTCTTATTTGCTCAGGTTGATTACTTTCCATTACTCTGCCTTCCAGGTCATTAATTCATTCCTCTGTCATCTAGCTTATTTATTCCATCAAGTGTTTTATTGTGTTCTTCATCTCCGATTGGTTCTTTTTAATCTCTGTGCTAAGGTTCTCACTGATGTCCTCCACTCTTCTCAAGTCCAGTGAGTATCTTTATGACCATTACTTTAAATTCTCTATCTGGCATATTACTTGCATCTGTTTTGCTTAGGTCTCTTGCTGTGGTTTCGTCCTGTTCTTTCATTTGGAAATACTCCCCCCCCCCATTTTGTCTCTAACTCTGTGTATTATTAAAGTCAGCTATGTCTCTTGGCTCTTGAAGGTAATGGCCTCACGAAGGGGTCTGTACTGCCCTGCAGTGCATTGTCTCCTGTTCCTCGGGAACTGTCGCTTTCAGGGAGCGTCTCCTAAGCATGTTGCCTGTGCCTGCTGTTGCATCCTGGCCTCTTTTTTTTTTTTTAAGATTTTTATTTACTTATTGAGAGAGAGAGAGAATGGTAGAGAGAGCATGAGAGGGAAAAAGGTCAGAGGGAGAGGCAGACTCCCTGCTGAGCAGGGAGCCCGATGCGGGACTCGATCCTGGGACTCCAGGATCATGACCTGAGCCGAAGGCAGTCACTTAACCAACTGAGCCACCCAGGCACCCCTGGCCTCTTTTTCCTTTAGTCATCTGCAGAACCTCTCTGCCTGTTGTGGGCAGTGTTTGGTCCTCAGCTAGGTGGGGCACATCCTAATGTGTGTTGGTCTGCATGCTGCCACTGCCACCTCTGGATGTGATATCCCATGAAACATGCAGGTCAGGAGATGAGGTGTTCGTGGGTTTTGCTCTGATCTCCCGGGGGAGGGGACGTGCAGTGCCAGGACTGAAGTGTGATGGGGAAAGGCGGATCACTGGACCACAGGGGTGCGGGGCTTCGTGTAAGCAAGTTAGGTAAGGAGTGTTGGCGCCGCGCTGGTTCCAGCAGGTGGCCATGTGTTTATGCTGGGGGGCTGTGGAGGGAAATGGTGCCTACCAGCTCCTTTGTTCCTGGAGGGGTCCCTGCTTCTCCAGGCCATGCTCTGAGTAAGACATTCTCTCTCCCGTCCGCCCCTGGCATTTTTCAAACTGCTGATTCCTGGCTGTACCTCCACTGGTTGGTTGTCATGCTCTCCCAGAGCCCAGCCCACAGACATTGAAAATCCAAGCTTTAAGTCCCACTGGTTGTAAGAACTCATGAAATTTGGCCCCTCTCACTTTCAAAGCCAAATGTTATGGGGATTTGTCTTCCCCATGTGGTCTCCCCCCTGTGATAATCTGTTTTTTGCCTTCTCCACACCACCGGCTCTGTCCCCACCACAGATGGCCACAGTCTGTTTCACTCTCAAACTGCATCTTTGCCCTTCCTACCTTCTTTGGTATTGCCTCTTCTCTACCTTTAGTTGATGAGTTTGTTATGCCAGTCTTTAGGCCGATTTCTGGGTTACTTACGCTGATGTGATTGTTGTCTAGCTATATCTAAGGAAGGAGGAAAGCTTAGGGTCCTCCTACTCTGCCATCTTCCCTAATTCTCTCTCTTCCTTTTGACTCACTTAGCAAGTACTAAGTGCACATACAGAGTGCTACTCAATATTGATTGTATAAATTCAGCACAAAATAAACTCCCTGCCCTCACAAAGCTTGTATTTCAGGGGACATCAATTTTAATATCCACCATTAGAGTTTGATAAGTGCCTGAAGAAAGATTATTTCAACAGCCTGTTTCTTGAGTGAAAACTGTAACTGCTAAGGTTCTAACTAACTAACTAACTAACTAACTAACTAACTAATCTAACTAACACATAGCACATTTGTGTGATCTTGGGATCACTGGGATGTAGTCAGCTATGGCAGAAACATTGTTACTGAAATAAATGGTTTCCCTCCTATGAGACTGGATGAAATTTATCACCAGCATGGATTCTGTGATGAATTTTAACATACGAACTTGAACTGAACTGCTTACCACATATCTTACACTTATAAGGTTTCTCCCCTGTGTGAACTCTCTGATGAGATTTTAGATGTCCAGACTGACTGAAGACCTTAGTACACATATTACATTTGTACGGTTTCTCTCCAGTGTGGACTCTCTGATGAACTTTAAGATTTGAGGTCCTAGTGAAGTGCTTACCACATGCCCTACAGGTGTATGGGTTCTCTCCCATATGGACACTCTGGTGCACATCAAGATCCAAGCTTGTCTTGTAGCCCTTCCCACACTCCTCACATTTGTATGGTTTTTCTCTGGTGTGGACTTTCTGATGAGCTTGCAGGCATGATTTCTGACCAAATCCCTTCCCACACTCTTCACATTTGAATGGTTTCTCTCCACTGTGGACTCGCTGATGTGTCAAAAGAGGTGAGACCCATCTGAAGCTCTTCCCACATTCCTTGCAATTATAGGGTTTCTCCTCCGTGTGGAACCTCCGGTGGTAATAAAGATGTGTCCTAGAAAAGAAGCTCTTTCCACATTCCTCACATTTGTGTGGTTTCTGTCCCATGTGAACTTTCTTATGGATACGAAGACGTGAACGCCAAGTATAGGACTTCCCACACTCCTCACATTTGTACGGTTTTTCTCCTGTGTGAACTACACAATGACTATTAAGTGCCGATCTACGACGAAAGCTCTTACCACAGATATCACACTTGAACGGCTTCTCCCCAGTGTGGACTCTCTGATGGTCCTGAAGATGGCAAGCATTAATGAAGGCCTTCCCACATCCCTTACACTTATAAAGTTTCTCTCCCGAGTGTAACCTGCAATGATTACTAAGTTCTGATCTACGACTGAAGCCTTTCCCACATTCTTCACATTTGAATGGCTTCCCTATAGTGTGGACTTTCTGATGAGTTTGCAGATGTGAGCTCTGACTGAATTCCTTACCACATTCATCACATCTATACCGTTTCTCTCCCAGGTGAACTCTCTGGTGAATACGAAGTGCTGAGCTATAAAAGAAGCATTTCCCACACTCATGACATGTATGAGACTTCTCTCCTGAGTTTAACTGTTGAAGATCACAGTTGGAGGTATGACTGAAGAATTTTTTACACCCATTTCCCTGGTAAGTTCTCTGGCCTGTCTGAGTTATAGACAGTCCTGCCCCAACCTGGCCAGGGAAATCACGTTGTTTGTAGAATTGAGAACTTTTTATCATGGAGTCTTGACACCGGGTTAAGTCATTAGCAATGTGTTGCCAGATTTGCCAGCAGGAAAGTTCTTCATGTGGTTCTGCTTTAGGAATAGTCTCCATCTCATGTTGGACTTTTTCTCCTAAAACGATAGAGAATGCAGATGTGGACAAATGAAGGCTTTGTTCAATGTCTTCATAGCTATATGTTAGGAAAGAGCATGGGACTTTATTTTTTTTTTTTTAAGATTTTATTTATTTATTTGACAGAGAGAGACAGTGAGAGAGGGAACACAAGCAGGGGGAGTGGGAAAGGGAGAAGCAGGCTTTCCACGGAGCAGGGAGCCCGATGTGGGGCTCGATCCCAGGACCCTGGGATCACGACCTGAGCCGAAGGTAGATGCTTAACGAATGAGCCACCCAGGCGCCCCGAGAGCATGGGACTTTAAGGAATCCAGGGAATATTCCCTACATCCTTCTAGTGTATATCATGGTCTCTGGTTTAAATGCCTACACAAACCAAGAGGTAGTCTAGTAGGCTCCTATCCACTAAACAAGCATCAATGAAACAAATTGAGAATCACTCCAAGCCTCCTATGTGATATACAAGTTAGAAATCAAAGACTTAATAACAAAAGTAATAATGATACACGTTAATTTTGCTGTTTGTACTGAATTTCATAATCAGTGTAAACTCTTATTTTTTAAAAAAATAAGCTCCACACCCAGCATGGAGCCCAATACAGGGCCTGAACTCACAACCCTGAGATCAAGACCTAGGCTGAGATCGAGTCAGACACAACTGACTAAGCCTCACAAATGCCCCAAGAAACTCTTAAATAGTAAATTATGCAGCAAATAAATTATATACACAATGAAGGCCTTTGTCCTCAACATCTGAGAGATAGTTCTAAGCCCCTGGCATGTCAGGCCTCAAAGGAATGTCGTAGGGTCTTCAGTCACATTAGATAGTTTAACAGTATGATTTAGGGACAAGGCTGACCACACCAGAAAGACCAAGAATATGATTTTAGGTGGGGCTTTCAATCACCTGGTGGTGTGGACCAAGAGGCTGAGAATAACCATATGAAACCATTCAGTCTATGCTGGTCATATGACAGAGCTCCAATAATTACTCTGGACACAGGATCAGAGTTTCCCTAACTGGTAATATCCCGTGTATAACTGTACACCTTCATTTTGGTAAGTAACACAATAACACATCCCTGACTCCACGGAGAGAAAACATGGCAACTCTGCATCTGGTACTTCCCTAAACTCCTTCTCATGTGCTTTTTCTCTTGCTTGACTATAAGGTGTATCCTTCCCTGTAATAAACACTAACTGTGAGTATAATAGCATTCAGTTAATTCTGCCAGTCCTTTTAGAAAATGATTCAATCTGAAGGCAATTTTGGAAACTCTCAAACCCGCAGTTGGTGTTAAGTGCCAGGAGGTCTGTGTAAACTGTAAACTTTATAGTTGCTTAAAAATTTGCAATCCTATATATCAAGCACCTAGAACTGATTATAGCTATATATTCTAAGTATCCCTGCAAATTCTACATAATGTGTATAGTTCATCTTATTTTCCTGTGTTAATACACACAGTTAATACACCTTAAAAAGGGAGAGCAAACTGTAGTTTTGCTGTGAAGTCAGACTACCCACAAGGAGGGTGGTGTTCCTGATAAAATAACTGAAAATGGCAAGAACCACTAGGGGTGAAAAGACTACACAAAGGTTTATGCACTGGTTTCTTCTGAGGCTTCTGGACTGTCTCATTCAAAACAGAGTGAGAAAATCTTTGAATGTAGATAAATTAGGCTTTCACATCAGTTTTTCTGATTGAAAACTGCAGCCTTTTAGTCAGCTGTAAAATAAATTTAACATCATGGAATAAGCATTTAGGAAAAAGGGACAGAAACTATCAGAGCATCGTTACTCACAGGAGTGGGGTGACTGCATGAATTATCTTATAAAGTCATACATATAAATCTACATATGCATGAAATATTTCTTTTGGATACACTGAAAGATGCATTTCTTAGTAGGGCTTGTGTTCTAAAAAGTCTGAAAACTTAGTTCAGGAACTCAGTAGGTCTTTCATTAAACAAATTGTTCATATGGAAAGGTAAGCCCTAAGGGTGAAAACTTGGAAAATTATTAATAGGTGAGTGTGTACCTCTTGGTAGATACTACTTTATGGTTATATTTAATAAACTATCCCTTTATAATACTTTTCTTTGGGGCACCTGGGTGGCTCAGTCAGTTAAGCATCTGCCTTTGGCTTACGTCATGATCCCAGGGTCCTGGGATCAAGTCCCGCATTCGGTTCCATGCTCAGCAGGGGAGTCTGTTTCTCCCTCTTCCTCTGCCCCTCTGCCTGCTTTTGCACAAATGTTCTCTCTCTCAAATAAATAAATAAAAATCTTAAAAAATAATAATAATAGTAGGGGACTTTAACACCTCACTTACATCAATGGACAGATCATCTAAACAGAAAATCAACAAGGAAACAATGGCTTTGAATGATTCACTGGAACAGATGGATTTAACAGACATATTAAGAACATTCCATCCTAAAAAAATAAAACAGACATTCAGAATACAAAATGTAGAATTAAAAAAAAAAAGAACATTCCATCCTAAAACAGCCAAATACACATTCTTTTCAAGCATACATGGTACATTCTCCAGAACAGATCACGTATTAGGCCACAAAACAAGCATCAACAAGTTCAAAAAGATCAAAGTCATACCATGCATTTTTTCTGACCACAATGATATGAAACCAGAAGTCAACCACAAGAAAAAATCTGGAAAGACTACAAATACATGCAAGTTAAATAACATGCTAGTACACAATAAATGGGTCAACCAAGTAATAAAAGAAGAAATAAAAAGTACATGGAAATAAATGAAAACACAACAGTCCAAAACCTTTGGGATGCAGAAAAAGTGGTTTTTTTTTTTTTTTTTAAGATTTATTTATTTGAGAGAGAGTGAGAGCACAAGCAGTGGGGAGGGGCAGAGGGAGATGGAGAAGCAGACTCCCTGTGGAGCCCCATGTGGGACTCGATCCCAGGACCCTGGGATCACCACCTGAGCCAAAGGCAGACGCTTATCCGACTGAGCCACCCATGCGCCCAGAAAAAGCAGTTCTAAGAGGGAAGTTTATAGCACTACAGGCTGACCTCAAGAAGTAAGAAAAATCTCAAACAACCTAAATTTACACCTTAAGGAGCTAGAAAAGGAACAACAAACAAAACCTAAAAACAGCAGATGGAAGGAAATAATATTAGAGCAGAAATAAATGATATAGAAACAATAGAACAGATTAATGAAATCAGGAACTGATTCTTTGAAAAAAAAATCAATAAAATTGATAAACCTCTAGCTAGACTTATCAAGAGAGAAAGAGAAAGGACTCAAATAAATATAATCACAAATGAGAGAAGAGAAATAGCCAATCACAGAAATACAAATAATTACAAGAGAATATTATGAAAAACTATATGCCAACAAATTGGACAATTTAGAAGGGATAAATCCCTAGAAACATATAACTTACCAAAACTGAAATAGGAAGAAATAGAACATTCGAACAGACCAATTATCAGCAAAAAAACTGAATCAGTAATCTAAGAAGTCCCAACAAACAAGAGTCCAGCACCAGACGGCTTCACAGGCAAATTCTGCCAAACCAAGCTATCCCAAAAAATAGAAAAGGAAGGAAAACATCCAAATTCATTCTATGAAGACAGTATTACCCTGACACCAAAACCAGATAAAGACACCACACACACACACAAAAAAAAAAGAGAGAGAGAGAGAACTACAGGCCAGTATCTTTGATGAACAGATGCAAAAATCCACGACAAAATACTAGCAAACTGAATCCAACAATATATTAAATAAATCATTCACCACAATCAAGTGGAATTTATTCCTGGGTTGCCAAGGTCATTCAATATTTGCAAATCAATCAATGTGGTACATCACATCAATGAGAGAAAGGATAAGAACCATATCATCATTTGAATAGAAGTACCACATCCACTCATGGTAAAAACCCACAACAAAATAGGTTTAAAGGGAACACAAAGGCCATATACGAAAAACCCACAGGTAACGTCATCCTCAAAGGGAAAAAACTGAGACCTTTTTCTCTGTAGTCAGAAATAAGACAGGAATGTCCACTCCCACCTCTGTTATTTAACATAGTACTGGAAGTCCCAGCGTCAGCAAGTAACGAAAAGAAATAAAAGGCATCCAAATTGGTAAGGAAGAAGTAAAACTTTTGCTATTTGCAGATGATATGATACTATAAATAGAAAACCTGAACAACTCCACCGAAAAACTGCTAGAATAAATTAATTCAGTAAAGCCACAGGATACAGAATCAACGTACAGATGTACAGAAATCTGTTGCATTTCTACACACCAATAATGAAGCAGCAGAATTAGAAATTAAGGAATCAATCCCATTTACAAATGCACCAAAAATAATGATACACCTAGGAATAAAGCTAACCAAAGAGGTGATAAGATCTGTACATTGATAAAAGAAACTGAAGATGACATAAAGAAATGGAAAGACATTCCATGCTCACAGATTGGAAGAACAAATACTGTTAAAATGTCTATACTGCCCAAAGCAATCTACACATTTAATGCAATCCCTATCAAAATACCTGTCAGAATGGCTAAAATCAAAAACACAAGAAACAAGTGTTGGTGAGGATGTGGAGAAAAAGGAACCCTAGTGCACTGTTGGTGGGAATGCAGACTGATGTAAGTATGGAGGTTCCTGGAAACGTTAAAAATAGAACTACCCTACAATCCAGCAATTGCACTATTGGGTATTTACCCAAAGAATATGAAAGCACTAATTCAAAGGGATACATGCATCCCTATGTTTATAGCAGCATTATTTACAATAGCCAAGATATGGAAGCAGTGCAAGTGTCCATCGATTGATGAACAGATGAAAAAGGTGTGGGGTGTGTAGGTATGTACTGTGTGTGTGTGTGCGTGTGTGTGATGGAATATTATTCTGCCATCAAAAAGAATGAAATCTTTCCATTTGCAATGACATGAATGGATCTAGAGAGTATAATGCTAAGTAAAGTAAAGTAAGTCAGAGAAAGACAAATACCATATGATTTCACTCACACAGGGAATTTAAGAAAGAAGACAAATGAGCGCTTGGGTGGATCAGTCGTTAGGCGTCTCCCTCCACTCAGGTCATGATCCCAGGGTCCTGGGATTGAGTCCCTTGTAGGGCTCCCTGCTCAGCAGGAAGCCTGCTTCTCCCTCTCCCACTCCCCCTCCCCCTGCTTGTGTTCCTGCTCTTGCTATCTCTCTCTCTCTCTCTGTCAAATAAATAAATAAAATCTTAAAAAAAAAAAAAAAGAAGACAAATGAGCAAAGGGGGGGAGAAAAGAAAAAGAGACAAACCAAGAAACTAGGGAACTTATGGTGACCAGAGGGGAGAGGGGGATGGGTGAAATGGGTGATGGGGATTAAGGAGGGTACTTGTGATGAGCACCAGGTGTTATATGGAGATGTTGAATAACTATATTGTAGACCTAAAACTAATATAACACTGTATGTTAAATAACTGGAATTAAAATTAAAACTTAAAAAAAAAAGTTTTTCTTCCCAGAAATGACTATGCCCCCTACAAAAGGAAAGCCTACAGGGAAAGCATGTTCCCTCGTGTGGTCACAACCACAGCGCTTGGAGGTTTCCTTGGGATCTGGGTCAAGGGCTCACATAGAAACACACAATCACGCTTCAAGTCATCTAAATAAGTAAAAATTGGATAGGCAGCCATTTGAAGACAAGTAATAATTCCTCAGTATCTTCAGTTCACTCTGGTTTATGGTCACTTATTAGCTTTTGCCATGAGTTATGGAGTGACTGGTGAAAAGGAAGCCTATGCCCTGGTTTCTTACAAGGCTTCTGACCTGTTTCTTTGAAAGTAGGGTGGAAAAACTTTGGATATAGATAAACTGGTCTTTTGCACCAGATTTTTAAGTTGCAAACTAAAGACCTTTAGTGAGCTGTGGAATAAATTTAAAAGCCTGTAATAAGCATTCAGAAAAACAAACTACCCTGCATCACCAGCGGCAAGAAATACAGTTAAATTCTCCTATCCATTAATTCATTCACAAAGTCAATAAATATTTACAGGTATCTGCCACGTCCCTCCACTAGTCTAGGGGGGATGGGTGACACCAATAATCAAAACCATTAAAATTCTCCTCCTGCAGATTGTACCCACTGAGGAGAGAGAAGTAAGAAGTAAACAAAAACGTATGAGACACAACAGAAGGCAAGAGGAGTAAAGATAGCATTGTATTTTACATAGAATGGTCAGAAGGCCTGTGTCATGGTATTAAAACCCAGCAGAGACCTGAAAAGAGAAGAACCAGTAGGATTTTTGGTGAAAGACTATTTCAGGCTGAGTGGAGAAGTAAAGGACCCCGAGGGAGAAGCTTCTGTAACAGACTTAATAATGGTTCCCGAAAGATGGCCACGTCCAATCCCCAGAACCTGTGAACATGTTAAGTTATGTTAATTGGGTTGCAGATGCAAAGGAAGGTGCTTATCAGGTGACCAGGAAAATAGGAAGATCATTCTGGATTGTCTGGGAGGGAGCAATGTCATCAGAAGGGTCCTGAAAGGCAAGATACAGAAAGGAATGCAGCCTTGTAGACACCTTGATATTACCCCCGTAAGACGTGTCAGAGTTCATACCTGAAGAACAAAGATACAATAAAAGTTTATTGTTGGGTCTGCTATATGCAGAGTAATTCGCTAAGGCGGCAGGAGGCAACGTACAGTCTCCTTGGAAGGTCTGAGTCATAGCAGGGGGACAACATGGGTGGAAAAATGGGAGCGAGAGTGGTGCCTGGCTGGCTCATCTGGACAGCATGAGACTCCTGACCTCAAGGCTGTAAATTCAAGCCCCACGTTGGGTGCAGAGATGACTTAAGAATAAAAAAAACCTTGAAAAAAAATAAAAAGGGAGCAAGAAAGAGAGGGCAGATGACGTATTCAAAGGAGAGGGCCTGGGGGTGCAGCACAGACTCCTGGGGACTCCAAGGGCCACTTTAAGTCATTTTAACTTTAAGGCGGGGGGAAAAAAAGAAGCCGTCATGGATTTTTTTTTTTTTTTTAAGATTTTATTTACTTATTTGAGAGAGGGAGCATGAATGGCCAGGGGCGGGGTGGGGGGAAGGGAGAGGGAGAGGGAGAAGCAGGCTCCCCGCAGAGCAGGGAGCCCGACGTGGGACTCGATCCCAGGACCCCGGGATCATGACCTGAGCTGAAGGCAAACTCTTAACGGACTGAGCCACCCAGGCGCCCAGACATAATGGATTTTGACCAGAGGAATGGCAATCTCAATTACATTGCTTAAGGATCACTTTGACTGCTCTGTGGAAAACAGGTGTAGGACGGGAAGGGCGGAAGCAGGACATCCCGCACAGAAGCTGTTGTAATAATCCAGACAAGAAGTTTGGCAATTTAGAACAAGGTGATGGAAATAAGCAGGAAGAAATGTATGTCACACAGTCGGGAGAGTTGCCTCCAAGACTCATGGTTACTTGGTTCTTACCTGAATTGCCTTTTCTTTGGGTTGCTAACTTCACCATCCAAAACTTTTCTTCTCTTACCAAGTGGACCACATCGCGTTTAAATGGCTGATGCCCTGGGAGCACACACAGTCATATGTTTAAAGTCAACACACTCTAGGGAAAATTCACTGGAAAATGCGGTTCCTACTACATGTTCTTCAAGCAAACAGAAGCAATGTTTTTCAAACATTTGTTTTCATGACCATTTGAAGAAATATCATTTGCCAAGTCTCCTGCACATATACAGAATGAGTTAGGAAGTACTTACTCTTCTTTGATTTTTTGGAAGAGTGTGAGAAGGATTGCTATCATCTAATTTATTTATTTCATTAAAAGTTGATAACAGGACTCACTGTACTGGTTTTATAACTCATGATAGGGTCAGAAATACATGAGGCAGAGCTGTATACCGTCCATTTACATCTCTTCAACAAAACAAAGATTGGTCTGTTGTTAAAAAGAGAAATAATGCTCCTGCGAGTCTCACATATATTAGGAAAATCAGATCCCCAAACTCAGAGAACCAGTTCAAGGGCCCCAAAGCCTTGAAAACCCAAGGATACGAAGCCACGCCTGGAACTAACATTCAGTAATAGAAGGCTGATGTCCTCACCCACAGAGACCAGGTTCCCGAAGTTCTCCAGCATCACGTCTCGGTATAGCTTCCTCTGGGCGGGGTCCAGCAGCCCCAGCTCCTCCTCCGTGAAGACCACCGCCACGTCCTTGAATGTCACGGCCTCCTACAACACCGAGCACATGTTGTCTCAATCTTATAACCAACCTTCACTGAGAGGGACAGCGCTAAGAGATATATCTTCTTATCTGTCACTTTTACTCAACAGAATGGCTAACATTTCTGACCCCTGGTTTCCTGTGTGAACCTGAGTAGGTTTCTTATATTTTACATACCTAAGTGGAAGATGAAATCAGGAACCCCCTTATACAGCAGCTCTAAGGAGTAAATGCAGAGACAGAACTAGGTGCCTGGCACATCCAGCAAGCCTGGATGTTTTATATTTATTTATTTACTTTTTAAAGATTTTATTTTTATTTATTTGGCACAGAGAGAGAGAGCACAAGCAGGGGGGGTGGCAGGCAGAGGGAGAAGCAGGCTCCCAACTGAGCAAGGAGCCTGATGCGGGGCTCGATCCCAGGACCCTGGGATCATGACCTGAGCCGAAGGCAGTTGCTTAACCAACTGAGCCACCCAGGCGCCCCAGGCCTGGATGTTTTAAACTAAGGTTATACCTCAGTTTATAACTGGAGGCAACCAAGATGTCCCTTAGGTGGTAAATGGATAAACTGTACATCCAGACCAGAGTATAATTTAAGGATTAAAAAAGAAAGAGAGCTATCAAGCCATGAAAAGACATGGAGTTACCTTAAATTCATATGACTAAGTTAAAGAAGTCAACCTGAAAGGTTACATATTGTATGAATCCAACCATATGACATTCTGGAAAAGGTAAAACTATGGAGACTACAAACTATGGAGTCTGAGAAAAGATCAGTAGTTGGCAAGGGTTAGGGGAAGGGAAGGATAAATAGGTGGAACACAGAGGACTTTTAGGGCAGTGAAACTATGTAGGATACTATAACGGTGGGGCCACATCATTACAAATTTGTCCAAACCAACAGAAAGAACAACGTCAAGAGTGAATCCTAAAGTAATCTATGGACTCTGGGTGATAATGACGTGCTGATAGAGGTTCATCGATTGTAACAACTGTACTACTCTGGTGGCGGATGTTGACAATGGGAGAGTCTGTGGGTGTTTGGGGGCAGGGTGGGAAACCTCTGTACTTTCTGGATTTTACTGTGAATGTTAAACTGCCCTAAGAAATAAAGTCTATGTATATACACATATACACAAACCTAAGGTTATACATTACTTTGAAAAAACTAATACATGACAGAATGAAAGCAGACCAGTAAGCAGACTCAGACATAAGACAGAATCTAGCTCTTTCTGTGTGAAAATCTCCAACGAGATTTGCATAAAGCAGCAGTTAGCCTATCACGCTGTGGTGTATTTGAATACCCTATCTACAAAACTCTAACGGGGCATGTATCAAATGTACTTTTTCATTATTGAGCTCCTAATACATTGAGGAGAAAAAATAGGGAGCTTATTTGGAGAAGTGATTTTTTGCAGAAAAAAATTGCAGGTAGGAAAACGATCACTGCAGTGTTGCTTCAAACAATCAAACTCCTAAGCCTCCTTAATGTGTAGGAGCAGCAGGCAGTTAAAAATTAAAAATCATATCAATTTAGGGGCGCCTGCGTGGCTCAGTTGGTTAAGCGACTGCCTTCAGCTCAGGTCATGGTCCCAGGGTCCTGGGATCGAGCCCCACGTCAGGCTCCCTGCTCGGCGGGAAGCCTGCTTCTCCCTCTGACCCTCCCCCTGCTTGTGTTCCCTCTCTCACTGTCTCTCTCTCTGTCAAATAAATAAATAAATAAATAAATAAATCTTAAAAAAAATCATAACAATTTAATAGAAATATGATGTAACCACAAATAACGTTCTGTTAAACCAAGAAGTACAAGTCAATATTAGATGTATATCATGAATAGTAATAAATCTATGAATATACATAAAAAGAGTATGAGAAAATAAAAATAGTTAATGTGTTGGTGGTGAAGCAAGCAGAACTGGTCATTTCTAGTAATTGGTCCACAGTTATTTTTTTTAATATATGTATATTTAAGTTTTTTTATTATGTTCAATTAGCCAACATATAATACATCATTAGTTTTTGATGCAGTGTTCAACGATTCATTAGGTGCATATAACACCCAGTGTTCATCACCACACACATTTATTTTTGAAACAAAATGAATAAGGATAAAATAAATGCTAAAAGCAAATACAGAGTAAACAGGTTATTTATTTATTTTTATTTTATTTTATTTTTTTAAGATTTTATTTATTTATTTGAGAGAGAGAGAGAATGAGAGAGAGAGAGCACAAGAGGGAAGAGGGTCAGAGGGAGAAGCAGACTCCCTGCTGAGCAGGGAGCCCCATGTGGGACTCGATCCCAGGACTCCAGGATCATGACCTGAGCCGAAGGCAGTCGCTTAACCAACTGAGCCACCCAGGCGCCCTAAACAGGTTATTTAGCCTGGTGTTCTCAAGTCACCCCAAGAAATGAAAAAATATGTAACTTTTTTTGAGAGAGAAGAGAGAGAGCTGTAGGGAGGGGCAGAGAGGGAAAGAGAGAATCCCAGGGAGGCTCCTGGCTGAGCATAGAGTCAAGGCGGGGCTCGATCTCAGGACCCTGAGACCATGACCTGAGCCAAAATCAAGAGTCGGACGCTCAACCAACTGAGCCAGCCAGGCGCCCCAACACGTAACATTCTGAGTAGTGAAATGGAATTCTAACAGCAAGAAAGCCAAGCCATATGCACCTTGAATGTGGTCATTTTTTCCTTCCTGCTTCTGGAGAGGTAGATTCCTGGAATACGGAGTCCTGGCAAGGCAGACCTGTGCCTGGTCGTGTCTGGAAAGGCAGAAAAGGACATGAAAGGGTGCCCAGGGATGATGCTCGCCTACATGAATGCTTACTGTGAATTAGCCAAGAAGCCCCTTCTTTGGGGTGGCTGTTGCTGTCCACAGCACGAAGAGCAGATCATGGCTACTCCATTCCTACACAACACACACACTGGTTGTTATGTGTTGCCTTGTGCTATCTTGCCTTGCTCCCAAGGCAGCAGTTCAGATTCTGATATGATGGAAACTGACACAACGTAATTCATCAAGCAAGAATCATCTCTGGGGCAACAATATCTGGGTTCAAATCCTACCTCAGCTTCTCAATAATTGTATCATCTTGGACGAGTTAATAACATCTCTTTTCCTCAATTTTGTCATCTGTACAACTGGGACAATAACATTTCCAACTCATGGAACTGTTGAGAGCTGGACAACACTTGGAATACACTCAGGGTTTCTTACTTTTGCAGCTCTAGTAAAAAAAAGATGACACTCTGCAATATGAAATTGCTCTTATGCATGTGATTTCTACCAAAAGACATTGTAGGATACCTGACTGAAGCTCTGATGTTGATTGTCCTGTTGCATGAAGGTCACTCGTAACCTCTGAAAAATCAGTTAACTCTGCCTCATTGTCTTCCCTAATACTGTGTTACCTTAGTGATAATTTTTAAATTGTTGTGGACAACTGTTTACCCAAACAACAACAACAACGGTTTCTAGTACCTATTAAAGAAACACAAGATTCTGGGGGGTGGGGTAGGTGGGGACAGTATGATGAAGCCAATCTGGAAAACAGTTTTATGCAGTTTGTCAAAAAGTTAAACCAAAAGCTACCAGTCAGCCTAGCCATTCTACTCCTCGGTATCTACCCAAGAGAAATGAAAACCTATCTCCAAACAAAAACATGTACATATGTATTTATAAAACTGGAAACTAAGATATCCACCCATGGGTGAATGGACAAAGTGTGGTGTGTCCACACTGAAATATTAGTAGGCAATAAAAAGGAATAAAATTATGATGTATACAATATGGATGAACCTTGAAAATATCACAAGTGAAAGAAGCCAGTCACAAAAGACCACATCTTGTATGATCCCATTTAAATAAAGGGTTCACAATATAGAGACAGAAAAGAAGTTAGTGGTTGTCTGGGGTTGTTGAGAACAGGCATTAACTATAAATGGTAACAAGGGGTCTTACTGGAGGAATGAAAATGTTCTAAAATTGAATTATGGTGAGAGCTGCACCCCTCAATATTACAAAAATCACTGAACTGTACACATGCAAAGGGAAAAATCTGATATAAAATCGAGATCAACTAAGTTGTTTTTAAGACTTGTCTGAGAAGCAACATCTCATTTAAGTTAACAAACCTGAACTCAGAGTCCATATAAAATTTATATTTGACTGAATAAAAAAAAAAGTGGGACGAAAAGGGATGCTGATCTTTACAGCAGAAAGCCCACTAATAAAACATGTCTCCCCACTGGAAACTTTAATTACAAAAAGAAATATAGTAACTTCAGTGGTAAAATGGTAGACATCCCCTTCACCAAGTGAACAAAATTGACATCACCAATATAAAAACCAAAATACGTCCTTCATCTCCTGTTATGTTGATTGAAAAGGCCACGTCACCACTTCTGTGGAATCCCCGACAATGCATAATCTGAATCAAACTGTGAAATCTATCACATAAAATTCAAAAGATGGGCTTTCTCTGATACGACTTGCCTACACATCATGAACAAAAACATCACGAACAAAATAATGAAGGATGAGGAATCATTCTGGATTAAAGGAAACAAGAGAAAACATGAGAGCAAAACGCAGCCCACAAAATTGGCTTTAATCAGGAGAAAACAGTTATAAGGATTTTAAATGAAAAACAGAACACATTTAAGTATGGACTGAGGGTCAGAGAATAGCACATTAACAATGTAATTTTCTGATTTTGATCTAGATACTGTGATTATAGAAGAGACTATCCCGATTCCTAGAAAATAAACACTGTTTAAAAGAAAAACACAGGCCTAAAATGACATCACTTAGGCCAAGTCACCAAACTCAGGCTGAATGACTAACCCAATTGCAGTTTCAACCTCCCCCAGAAACACAGTGTTAACCAGGAATTCACTCAGGAATTTTCTGATAAGCACCTATGAAGTTAATCTGACACACAGGCCCTCTCCATCCCTTCTAGATGAGGTAATCTGCGTAAGATCCGCTGCTCTTCCCTCCAAGGGAAAGTGGCCTTGCTTGAAACAATCTTTTCTTTCCTCTTGCTAATAACTTCCTTGCCCCACCCTCCTTCCTACAAAAACCCTGCATTTTGTACAACTCCTGGGAGCTGCCTTCTACTTGCTTTATGGGATGCTGCCCAGTGTATGAATCATTTAATAAAGCCAATTAAGTCTTCAAATTTAGTCAGCTGAATTTTTGTTAACAATACAAATACTTAGGGACAAGGAGGTATCATCTACAGCATAATCTCAAATTCTTCGGGGGGGAAAAAAAGAGATGCGTGAAGGAAAAAAGGCAAGGGCAGTTGACAGCTAGAAGCAGCTAGGCCTTGGTGTTTTCGACTCATCATAAATAATTTCAAGAATATCAGCAATTTTCAGACATAACTACTTAGTGTCAATGGTGCAACAAGAAAGGAAGTCTTTTTTGAGACAAAGGCCAAGGACAGAAAGGAGGCTCTGAAATACCACAATTATGTCTTTGTCCCTGAGAAATCAAGAGATATTCTGCCCCCGCCCCGCCCCTCCTCCTTTCCAGCCAGAAATGGTTTGCGAATGTTAACCTTAAAAGTAAAACTGCCAGTTATGTTACTGGAATGGCAAAAAAAATCGCAATCCAGGACAAGCAAGATACAGCAAAAACATAGGCAAGTCCACAGAACGAAGGAGAGGAACACTCTTTTACAGGGTAAAGGGAGAACGGGAATGCTGTCATAAAGAAAAAGTCCATTGGAGCAAACTGGGGCTTGGAAGTATAGTGGCTTTTCATTGGCTGAGTTTTGACAATCTCTCATTGGCTGGGCTGACGCGGGGCGGGGGGAGGGGGCGGGAAGCCATTCTTCCTCCCTCTGGGATATTGTAACTAACAGCTAAAATAGTATCAGGTGGTCTCTTCCAATTGGGTCTGCAACTGACAAGAGTTATGGTAGGGTATGAGGGCTTTCCCCGGCCAGCCTCGGACTCCATTCTAAAGGAGGTTTCCCTTTATTAATTTTACACAGGAGTAACTCCTCAGAAGGGGTTCGGGGCTATCGAGCTTCCTATAGGGATCAAAAAGAAGTGCCAGGACTCACTGCAGCCACGATATTCGTGGCTGTCCCGTTACTAAGCACTTAACAAAATTAAAGAGTCTAATACCAAGAGACCACCATTCACCACGCGGCAGGAACTGTCCTTAAGACTTTTATTTATACCATCTCGTTTGATTCTCAAACCACTGGATTATAGGAAGGTAGGAATGTCATCCCAATTTTACAAAAAAACAAAAACAAAAGCAAAAAAACCCCAACCCCCCCCACCCCCCGGAGACAGAGAATTTAAGTAAGTGGCCCAATGAAATGTTCAACCGCGCGACAAGGGCAGAGCGAGGGAAAGGCGGGCGGCCTGGGGAGGCACGACTGCAGGCGGAGAGTCCGGGAGACCCTCCGCCAGGCCATACGCTGCTCAACCGCCTCAAACGCCAAGAGGGTCCCTGGAGGGGAACGCCACTCCAGCCCTCAAGCCACCTCTCTCGCGCGTAGCTCTCCCCCACAAAATAAATGGGCAGTGGTACTAGCACCCAGGGAAGTTCAGGAGGGTCCCGAAACCAGAACCCACTTACCACAGCGACCGAAGAGCCTGCGGCAGAGCCCGCAACGGAGCCCGGAGCAACCTGGCCACCTGAGCTGAAGTGCCTGAGACCGCCCCGCCCCAAACTCTGCCGGGGATCGACTACCCAGAATTCCTCTCTCCCGGCTGCTTTGCGGAAGTACCCGGGTCTCTACCGAACTGGCGGACTACATTTCCCAGAAATCCACGGAACACCGGTCCCATTCCCACCCTCCCCGGCCGGAAGTGCTTGCGACTCCTGGGAGATGCGGCTCTGTAGTTCCCACAACGGTCGTGGGGGCTGAGTTCGTGTGGTCGAGTTCGTGTTGTCCAGTTCTTGGGCGATAACGTGCGTTCCCATACTGGGGCTAGAGTTCACCTCTCCCGGAATCCGGCATCAGAAAATATCCTGTTATTTAAGCTGCTATTAGTTTTGTCTCTACAATAATAGCAAACCTAGCTAATATATCACTGGAAAGGTTAGTCTGAAACTGCAATGATGAACTTAAGATCTTCAGAAGAATGCACAAGGTCAAGGCTTAAGAAGCTGTACATTTGGAAATCTACACAGCAGAACTGTTGAGAAAAACACTTTAAAACTATTAGAAAATTCATGGGCCCAAGAGAGGTATGGTAATTTGGTTGATTCTTTATTACCTCTCCCACAAGAGTCTGAATCACCCAAAATCCACGAGTCACCTCCATTCTGTCAGTACACTATCACGTGATGGTCTAAAGAAATATTGTGCCACAGAGAAGCGCCTTTAACAGGAATAGCCAAGGCACCTCAACAGAACCTCATGGACACAAGTCTTGGAGTTACCTGGGATATTTGGTAGACCACTCAGATGGAATAAAGGCCAGAGACAACGCCAGAAGAACAAATAAGACTGGACACACATGGTTCCAGATCCCGGCTCTAGGCACCCCAACTGGACAACACTCACTACCAGTAATGACCAGATTCAGGCAGCAGAGGGCAACATAAAAAAAATTGGCACTGCATAATGTGGGCCTTCTCGAGGCTAGGGGCCTGGCCCTATCTACTTGGATCTAAGAGCTATATAGTCTCCTTCATTCTAACTGACAATCTCACCTCCTTAAGCACACATAGTCTTTTGTTTTTATTTAAATTCTAGTTAGTTAACATACAGTGCAATAGTGGTTTCAGGGGAATTCAGTGATTCATCACTTACATAAACACCCAGGGCTCATCATAACAAGTGCCCTCCTTAATACCCATCACCCATCTAGCCCATCCCCCACCCAAATCCCTTCATCAACCCTCAGTTTGTTCTCTATCATTAGGAGCCTTTTATGGCTTATTTCCCTCTCTCATTTTCCCCCCTCCTGTATGTTCATCTGCTTTGTTTCTTAAATTCCACATATGAGTGAAATCATATAGTAATTTGTCTTTCTCTGACTGACTCATTTCGCTTAGAGTAATATACTCTGGCTCCATCCACATCACTACAAATGGTAAGATTGCATTCTTTTGATGGCTGGGTAATATTCCATTGTTTTTATTTATATACCACATCTTTATCCATTCATCAGTCAATGGACATTTGGGCTCTTTCCATAATTTTGCCATTGTTGATAATGCTGCTACAAACATTAGGGTGCATGTACCACTTTAGTACATATAGTCTTTTTTTTTTTTTAAAGATTTTATTTATTTATTCATGAGAGACAGAGAGAGAGAGGCAGAGGGAGAAGCAGGCTCCCAAGGACCAGGGAGCCCGATGTGGGACTCGATCCCAGGACCCTGGGATCATTACCCGAGCCGAAGGCAGACGCCTAACCATCTGAGCCACCCAGGTGCCCCTTTAGTACATATAGTCTTATAAGCTGCACAGCTGTGAGTATCTTCATCTATGATGTCAGCCCTAGCCTGACATCACCAAAACTGGCCTTTAAAAAGATTGGGCTTATGACAGAGAAATTCCACTCCCAATACCCAAGAGAAATGATACCCAAGAGAAATTAAAACATATGTACACACTTGTACAAAAATGTTCATAGCAGCATTATTCAGAAGAGCCAAATTATAGAAACAATCCAAATGTCCAGTAACTGATGACTAGGTAAATAAAATGTGGTATATTTATACAATAGAATCTTATTCTGTGATTAAAAAATGAAGTACTGATTCATCCGAGGGTTAACCTTGAAAACGTGCTTAGTGAAAAAAAGCTAGACACAATAAAGAATGTATTTTATGATCCCATTTCTATGAAATCTGCAGAAGACATCAGTCTATACAGGAAGATTAGTTGTTATCAGGGACTTGTCCATTGGGAGTGGAAAACGGCTGCTAATGGATGGGGGCATGTGTTGGTGGGCTGATGAAAAAGCTCTGGAATGAGATAGTGGTGATAGTTTAAATCTTTGTGAATATACCAAAAATCATGCAATCATACACCTTACAAGTGTGAATATTAAAGTATGTGAATTATATCTCAACTGAAAAAAGATATTGGCCTGTTTGAAACTATTTCCCATTCACATGTTACTATGGACTGGATTGTGCCCCTCTGCCATGCATATGTTGAAGCCCTAAACTCCAGTGTGACTGTATTTGGATTTGGGTTTTTAAGAAGGCAATTAAGATTAAATAGGTCATTAGAGTGGGGCCCCAATATGATAGGATACAAACCAATGGAAAAGTATTCATGTTCATGGATTGGAAGAATTGATACTATTAAAATATCAATATTACCAAAAGCCATCTATAAATTCAATGCAATCCCTATCAAGATTCTAATGGCAATTTTTTTTACAGAAGTAGAAAAAACACTCCTAAAATTTATATGGCACCACAAAAGACCCCCAATAGCCTGAAAAAGAAGAATAAAGCAGGAGGTAACACACTTCCTAATTTCAAGCTATACTAAAAGTTATAGTCATCAAAACAGTATGATGCTGGCATAAAAACAAATAAATCAATTGGACAGAATTGATAGCCCTAAAATAAACCCAAGCATATATGGTCAACTAATATTTGACAAGGGAGTCAAGAACATTCAATGGAGAAAAGACTTTCTTTTCCAATGAATGGTGCTGGGATAATTGGATACTCACATGTAAAAGAATGAAACTGGACCCATATCTATACCACTCACGGAAATTAACTCAAAATGAATTAAAGACTTAAATGTAAGAAACTCCTAAAAGAAAACAGGAATAAAGCTCCTTAACATGGCCATGTCTTGGTTATGATTTTTTGGATATGACACTTAAAGCACAAAGAACAAAATAAAAAATAAACAAGTGAGACTATATCAAGTTAAGAAGCTTCTGTACAGCAAAAGAAACCATCAACAAAATGAAATAACAACCTATGCAATGGGGGAAAAAAATCTACAAGCCATATATCTGGTAAGAGGATAATATCCAAAATAGATAAGAACTCATATAACTCAATATCAAAACAAACAAATAAGCCACCCCCCTCCCAAAAAACCTAACTAAAAATGGGCATAGGACCTAAATAGACACTTCTCCAAAGAAGATATACAAAATACCAACAAGTACGTGAAAAAACGCTCACTTTTACTAGTCATTAGTAACACCCCAATTAAAATCGTAGTGAGATATCATTTTGTGCATGTTAGAATGGCCATCATCAAAAAGACAAGAGATAACAAATGCTGGCATGAATGTGGAGAAAAGGGAACACCTGTGCACTGTTGGTTAGATTGTAAATTGATACAGCCACAGTGGAAAACAGTATGGAGGATCCTTAAAAAATTAAAAATAGAACTACTATATGATTCAGTAATTCCACTTCTGGGAATATACCCAAAGGAAATGAAAACACTAATTTGCAAAGATATCTGCACCCCCATGTTTGTAGCAGCATTATTCACAATAGCCAACACAAGGAAACAACTTAAGTTTTCATCAGTGAATGAATGGATAAAGAAGTTTGGGTATATATTTACAATGGAATATTATTCATCCATAAAAAGAAATGATCAACGCTCGCTTCAGCAGCACATATACTAAAAAAAAAAATGATGAAATCCTACCATTTGCAACAAAATGGATAGATTTTGAAGACATGCTAAGTGAAATAAGTCAAAGACAATTACTGCATGACTTCACTTATATGTGGAATCTAAAACAAAAACAAAAATCTAAAACAAAAAACAAACTCATAGAAAAACGGAACAGATTTGTGGTTACCAAAGGCAGAGGGTGGGGAGTGGGGGGAATTGGAGGAAAGTAGACAAAAGCTATAAACTTCCAGTTATAAGATAAATAAGTACTAGGGATGTAATGTATAACATGATGACTATACCTAACACTGTCATATAATATATAGGAAACTTCTTATGAGAGTAAATCCTAAGAGTACTCATCACAAGGAGAAAATGTTTTCCTTTCTTCTCTTTATGCGAGAAGATGGATGTTAGCTAAAGCTATCGTGGTAATCATTTCACGATATATGTAAATCAAACCATCACACTGTACACCTTAGACTTACACAGTGATGTATGTCAATCATTTCTCAATAAAATTGGGGCTAAAAAGAAAATAAATATTTGGTTAATATGTATGTGAAAATATTTATAACAAAATAATGGATATTTATAACTATTAGAGTCATCATTGTTGGAACTGATGTAATAGTGTTATCTACAACTATCACCTTTCACTACTCATTCCATATTCCCCTTACTCTGAGAAAACACCTCACTTCATTGTGGTTCTTTTCCTATTCTTTTCCTAGCGGAGGAACCAAATTCTCATTCTTAAAGGTTTGGAGACATTAACAGTCCTGCCTGAATTGTGGTGTTGTATTTTTCCATTGGTTTTTAATCGTAAGACATGGTGCTTTTAAGAGACACCCTAAGTGATCTCTTGCATTCTGGACATATTCTCGCTTACCTCCACTGTGTTATAGCAACTCAATTCTCTCATTGTTATCAGCATCAATTACCCAGCCAGTAAAATAACCCCCTTCTTTGACTATTCATTCAAAAGTAAGAGACATCAAGTGCCCAGTTGGAAGTATCAAGTTCAAATTCAATGGAATCATTATTGTGTCTTCTGATGGAATCATTCATTCCCTTGGAAATAAGGTCTCTATAGAGCTTGTTCATGGAGACAGGAAGCAAAATATTTGCTATTGGATCACTTGAAGTAATAGTGAGTGGAGCCACTCAAATTTCTACCCCTGGATTCCTGATCTTGTGAAACTTGTTTATGGGTAAAAGAGCACCGAATTCTGGGCACTGATTTAAATCATATACAGCATCTATGAGGACGTTGTTCCAGCCCAACAAGATACTGCCACTTACCTGGTAATGCAACTAATTTTCAAAAGG